GAATAACGCAGGTTGGAGAATCGTTGCAACGAGAGTCTGATCGACTCTGGGTATCCACCTACCTCGCGACCGCTCCTCGATCGCGAAACCGCAAGCACAGGCCTGGCCCGGAATGAGTTCGAGAGAGGATGCTGTGTGTGCCCTAATGGCCGAGTAGAATCCAATGCAACGTGGCTCTCTCGTTTTTCCTTTTTTTTTTCTTTTTCATTCTCCGCTTCGCGAGAGAGTATTCTTTTCTTCTTTCTCGTGGCACTTGGCCGACCTCGTCGTATCGATCCACCGCGAAGATCGTTTCACGATTGCATTTGCCGAACAAAGAGAGCCCGGCGATCGACGTGTGTATTTACGATTTCAAATCGGGTGTGCTCGTTGTGAAAATGAAGGAAGATCGATTGCACACGAAATGTTCCTCTCACTTCGCTTTCTAATTTTTGGGATGGGTGTTTAAATAGTTAGACAGAGTTGCAATTGACTGATTTTCGAATTAATTTCTTGTCGAGCCGCTTGAACCGACCCCGAAAGTGGTGATCTCGGGATTATCTTTTGAATTCTATCTTCGAATTTACGATAGATGACAAACGAACTTGATCAGATCAAATAATTTATATAATCCAAATGTGGAAGCTCATGTATCTTCGTATTTAATATTCCCTTCCTGATATAAGTATACAGAGAAGAACATAATTTTTCAAATTTGAAAAGAATAAATAGTTTGAACTTATATTCAACAAGGTATGTATTCATCGAAAACAATCTGTGAAATTAAAAACCCGGAGTCAACCATTTTCACTTTTAAGTGGTTTATTTATTTAACATATAAGGCGTCGAATATACAATAATGTCCAGCATTTCGATGATACTTCCAACTATACGCGCGAGCTTTAAACTGGTAATTGCTACGCTTCTATCAATTTTACGAGCGTCGCGTTTTATTCCCAGCGACATGAGCGTGCGTCTTCAAGCTGGCGGATTTTATCGAGTCGCTTCAATAACTAAAAAAGTCCGATCAATAGGTAGTCGATGGAAACGAAACAGACCCTTCGTAGTGACCCTTCTTTCTTCCTCTTTCTTATCGTCCTTCCCCACTGCTTTCCGTTCGTGATAGAATATAAATCGAACGCGTTTACGATCGCGCAAGCCTTTTTACGACCGAGAGTCTCGCCCGGTGATTCCACACTGCGAGAAGATTCTCGAATCATCGTCCTTTAAGTGCATCTTGCTATATATCATCGTCGAGATGAGAATACATTTCACGACGAGTAACGATGATAATGAATGACATCAACTGAGCAAGTATCGCCGTTTGACTAGCTGCATACTCCAGCGAAGATCGTAAAGCAGCAATAATTTATTAGATGATTACGCCGCTTATACACGTGCAAATGACAAATTATCATAAACTGTCGACTAACTGTCAATAGTCCGTCGAAAGCAGCACAATTGAACGACGATGTTATATCTTTATTCGATGGTCGACTCTCTCTTTCTCTCTCTCTCTCTCTCTGTACAAAAACGTTATGTCTGCTAAACGAATCGAAACTGCTCGAGAATTTTTTTTTTTCTATTCTCTGTCATTATTGAAATCGGCGCTATGAAAGCTGAATATTCACGTGTCAAACTGTATGTAATAGAATTTGGATTTCGTGTAATTTAAGTTAAAGGTAAATGTACGTTTTTCCACTTGAGTATATTAATGTACTTAAATATATTGTTTACTAATACTCAAAATATAATTATTTCTTAACAATCGTGGGTTGGATTTTTGACCTATTTATGTCATCATCTTGAGTTAGAAATATATATATATATATATATATATATATATATATATATGTATAATATGCAAAAATATAAAAAATATTCAAAGTACAATACGCACTTGTCACAGAACAGTGTCAACTATAAATTAATAATCAAAATTTAAATACAACATTTCGTGTGTGAAACACGAGAATCTTCTAATATAAATACAGTCGACTTAACGTTAAATTAAGTACCTATGAAATGAGTATGCAGTGAAAATATAGGATTCAAATTTTCTCCAGCCATTAGCCAAATTACGAAGATGAATGGACAAGATTTTCATAATTGGTGAAGGAATGTCATTGTAACTTGAAATACATTGATGATAATGTATTATTTCGAAATGTATTGTTTCAATAATTATGGCACAGACTAGCCATAAAAATCTCTACAAAAATCTGTCACTTCAAAAAAAAAAAAAAAAAAAAGAATGAAATGAATACATAATCTATTCAACAAAATACTTAACTCCAACAAAAGTCACAAAAATTGACAAAAAAAAAAAAGTGAATGGATCGAAAGAAAAAACAAGTAAGGACGATGAGTTGAAAGAAAATCGTTTGACTATAAATCCGATTCTGCAAGAATCGTAGCTGTATTAGAAACGATTCGCGCAATTCGACTCTAATCGAGTGATCGAAGACGTGATTGTAATAACAAATCTCGATCAGGCCACGCCTATTTATCATTATCATTCACTGTAGTATGAATAAGAAGCGAAATAGCAACGAGCCGAGACGGTCGTGATCGTAACGTCCGATTCAGTGACACGCAATCGGCAACGTGATTTTCTGGTAATCGGTGCTCGCATTTATTTCTACTTTTCTCGCTTAAATTGTTTCCTGCTCGCTCGTTTCGCCACGTTAGCTTGATCGATCGATCGATCGATCGCGAATGTGGAAACGTTTACAAAATTTAATTGGAAAAAAGATTAGCGCCGAGAAGTATGCAGCGGTTTTAACGTGAATCGAGGGAAAAAGAGTGAAAGTTTCTCGAGCGGTGTGGAATTTCCTCGTTTCAATTTCTTTTATTGAATATGAATTATTTGTAGAGAAAAAAAAGAAAAGAAGAAATGCGAAGGATTGAGAATATGTAGAAATCAATGATCGATGTACGTAAACATTTTATGTGATTATTGTACATTATTTAACAAGATTGATCATTTTGTTTAGCGCAAAATGGAAAATATTTTGAAAATATCTTGCGACGAATTGTGATTTATTCTGTGATGAAAAAAATTAGGATAAAATATGGAATTGCTATCGTCTAACAATGACCCAAAAAATTAAAAAAAGTTTCATTTAAATATTACTTAACTTAACACTCTCTAACACTATTTTGACAACACAGTGAAATTGAAATAAGCTTCTATTCAACTAAATATCTTTTTGAAACAAGGTTCGACAGATTTAACAAATAGAAATTTGTGAAATTTTTGTGCGATATATTGTACAATATTTAATTCAATGATAGAAATTTTAGAACGAATACTCTATCTAATTGTAAGAGTGAAAAAGATAATGTATAACACGTTGACAGTATTTCTATTCCTATAAATATGTATTTTTATAATAATAATAAGATGAAT